TGGTTGCCTCATTTGTAAAATGTTCGAGTTAGCCTGGTGATCTCCAAGGTTTTCTCCAGCTCTGTCAATTCTGAAATTTTATGAGAGCTTGGGGATCGGGATGTGAATTCCGGTGCTTTTATGAACTAGCTGTGACATTTGAACAGACAGCCGCTGCTCCCCGTACGAGCTCTCCTATGAAAGACTTGCACACTGGGTGAGCCGGAGGCCCAAGTGAGACAACACATCGGTTGGTCGTGGTGGTGACTGAGAAGTCGTTGTGAAGGTAGAGGCGATATTTCCCATCTTGGGTGTGGCGCCTGAGAGATCCTTGTCTCTGTGCGTGTTCCATTGTTGCCTTTGCTTTTCTCATGCTTTCCTCCCGTTCAGGGCTGCGTTGGCTTTACCCTGTGAGCTGGTGTTTGCTCCATGCATCTCTGCTCATCACTCAACTGCACTTGTTGGGACTGCTGGCCTCCCGTGTTCTTCCAGGTGCCCACAAGTTGGTCTCAGGCTGAAGAGCAGCAGGCTTAAAATAATTTCAGATTTGTCTCAATTTGGACAGAGGTTGACCTGAAATACACCACTGGGCTGTTTATGCAAAGGGCTTCTTGCCAAATATATTTAAAAGTATATGAGTCAGAGATGAAATTTACCTACCTAAGAACACACTGTTTTCGAGCACCTTTAGGAGTACCAGTCGTATCCAACGGTATAGTTACAATATGAGCAGAGAGTAACGTCACTTAGGTTGATGTAAGAACACTTTTTATTTGTTAAGGAAGACCCATCAGTTGACATTTCAGCCTTCCCCGGATGCTCCAGAGTAGGAGCAAATAGGGATAGGAGCAAACTCCATGGTTTGTATTTGTACCTTTGTGGCCAGAACAACTCCGAGGTGTGAAAAGGACACTAGAGGCTAGATACTAGAAATGGAACCTCATCAGTTCCTCTTGGCCCATGCTTTTCCCGTAGATTAAGTCCAAGAGTTGATTAATTTGAGGCTGGTGTGTATGGAGGAGGTAGAACAAAGGAGATTACTCGTTGATTTAAAAGAATAAATATGTTTACAAGGGAGGAAGTGAAACAAGGTAGAATTTACCTCTTGATCATGTGTGTGTGTGTGTATATACATTTACCATCAATTCTGTAGAATTTGCATATTGATTGCTTTTGACAAGAAACCTTACTTCTCTCCTCTGAGAATACTGGAACTGTTTCTATATGAAAGCAAACTTCCCCTTCCCCTACTCAAACTTTTTCACACTTTTTGCTGATTTCAGATTGCCCCTTCCCTTGGGGCTGGTCAGAATAGAATGTTCTTTGGTTTCCATCAGGGAATCTGACTGGGCTTTTCTTGAGTGTACACATAGTTGGCTAAAAAGTAACATGATGATAATAAAAATAAATAGCTCAGTGTAACTGGGCACTTACCATGTGAGCTAAGTGTTTTATTTACATTATCTAGTTTAATCCTCCCAGCGACCGAGTGAGGTAGGTATTATTATCTTCCTCTTTTTAAACAGACACGGGCAGTCTGGGCTTGTTCTGACTATGAACCTTTCCGAGGCTGCAGAGGGTTGGCAAGTTCAGTGGATAACTTCAGTGAAGCAGCAGAGGTGGGCTTAAGGTTTAAGGAAGGCAGGCTATAGTCTGGCTCCATGATCACTGCCTTCCGTCCCCATGTAACTTCTTTTTCTTCAGGAAGACATCTTGAAAACTCCCCAAGACGACTTACAAACAACCTCTTGATTGAGAACCCTGGGTCGATTCACTCAGGGCTCCTTTGGCAAAGAGAAGTGACCTCGCTGGGCACTGCCTATGGTCCTGCAGGCCGAGACCCTGCCCAGCTCCTCTGCATCTTCTTTCGCTCACTGCTGTTCCCTCCCCTGGAGCACACCTGGGGCAGGTGTGCCGATAACCATGTATTCCAGGCCTCAGAGGAACATGGCAGCAATTCCTCATTCGATTCTAGTTATAAAACTTGAAAGGACTTGGAAGCAGCTTTCAGCCTGAGGATTTTGTAATCCAGACTCTACTCCTTGGAGCCTGGACTGAAGAAAATGCCCAGGGCCTTGGGGAGAAAGGAGCTGTGTTTGGGCCTGTGGGCCTGGCTGGGGGCTGGGAGGCAGCGTCTGCATGCGCATGTGGATACAATGGGCGCTCTCAGTGAGTGTGTGGCCCTGGGGACCCTCTGAGCCCTGAGGTCCAATTATATCCCCTGAAATAAAGCTTTGGGCTCAGTCTCTTACTCATGCTGGTGGTTCTATCCCCAGCAGACTCAGCTGGGACTCTGCATGCCCAGGAGAAGGGAGCGCCCCATGTAGCCTTCTCCACAGCCCTCAGCACTGGACTTGGTGGGTACCATCCTTGTGGAAAAGGAGGCCGGCCTTGGCCATAGGAGCCAAGGGGCCTGGGAGGGAGTCAGTGCGGCCTCCCGGCCCCGGGGACAGGTTCCCCAGAGGTGATTATTGGCCAAGGAGGAGGAAGCAGCCAGCCAGGCCCCATTAAAATGCTGCCCCTGGCAAGGAGACATCTCTCAGAGCTATCCCCTGCAGGCCGGACAGGATCTGAAGGCGTGAACTCCAAGTTTCCATCAGTGCTTCCCACCGGAGCCTCCGGAGGTTACCAGGGGAGCTCTGGCCCGCAGGGAGGCCAGCTTGCCAGGTGTTTCTGACACAGCTGAGAGCAGTCATTGCCACAGCCCCCCTGTATCCGGCCACCACCCTGTGCTGGGCACCGAACTCACACTCTTTCCTTGCCAGAGCCCTCCAGGTTTGGC